GGAGCATCATTCACCAGCGTGACAATCTGACACCCACCAGACCTATTGATTGGCTCCTGCTCCGAGCATTCACAAGCCTCGATTATGCTTTACTGTGTCCCTGCAGGGCACAATTTATTCCCCTTTCACAGATGGGAAACTGAGGACTGAAAAACAAAGGATGACTCTTGGCTGGAGATGACAACACTTAATTTGTGTAGTCTATCTCAAGAACTCTTGTCCTCCTCTTTCTGTTTGCATTTTTTCTTGATTTTAAAGATAATAAATATTTATTCTGAAAAAAAAAATCCAACAATTCAGAAATAAACAAGGTAGAATGTGAAAGAACCTGGTAACCCTCCCCTCCAGAGGTAATCATGGTCAACAGTTTGGAGTTTATCTTCCATGTTATAATTTCTCTGCTCATTGATGAATTTTTAAATAGTATCATTATTTTTTTAACTACTCATAGTTATATACTCTTTCAGATGATGTTCATGATCAATTTATCCAGTTTCCCTCTGCCAAGCTCTTTGGGATTTGATTTTAAAGGCATTAAATGTGTAAACCAAAGGAAATAATATTTTCCCAATATCAAGTCTTTCTTTCCGTGAAAATGATATTCTCCTTAGTTATCCAGGCTTCTTTAACATCCTTTAGTAAAGATTTATATTTTTCTTCATATGTGCCTTAAATGGACCTTTTTAAGCTTATTCCAATGCATTTTATCATTTGTTTTGCTAATGAGAATGGAACTCTCTTTTTCTCTCAATTCAGTTTTCTATTCGCTGTGCCTGTGGCATAGGAGGGAACTATTCATTCATACATTTCACTGCTCTTGTCTTCTAAGCTTTACAGCTTTAAAATTAACTGTCTTGGAATTTTTTAGCAAACACATATATCATTAAAAACTGCAATGATTTTGCTCTTCCCTCCCAATATTTATATTTCTTATTTATTTTTCTTGTCTTACTGCATTTGCTAGAACCTCCAAAGCAATGCTGAATAATTATGATACAAGAATCCGTGTCTTATTTATGACTTCAGGAAGAAGTGTCTAGTTAATTCAATGGGTTCCTCCTTCTCTTTCAAAGCCCTCCCTCCTCCCTCAGGATTTAAATGCCCCCCTCCATTTCTCCCTCTATTAAAAAATCTCTAACTTTTCCTTGGGTCTTTGACAACAAGAATAAGTTAAACTGCCAGGCACGGTGACACACGCCTGTAATCCTAGCCACTAGGGAGGCTGAGGCAGGAGGATTACAAGTTCAAAGCCAGCCTCAGCAAAAGCAAGGTGCTTAGCAACTCAGTGAGACTCTGTCTCTAAATAAAATACAAAATAGGGCTAGGGATGTGGCTCAGTGGTCAAGTGCCCCTGAATTCAATACCTGGTACCAAAAAAAAAAAAAAAAAAAGAGTTAAACCACTGCAATTTCTTTCCCTAAATAATATGCGTTTCCAACCTCTATAAAGAATTTACCAGTGGGGAAAAAGGTACACTTATACACTGCTGGTGGGACTGCAAATTGGTGCAGCCAATATGGAAAGCAGTATGGAGATTTCTTGGAAAATTGGGAATGGAACCACCATTTAACCCAGCTATCCCTCTCCTCTCCTCGGTCTATACCCAAAGGACTTAAAAACAGCATACTACAGGGACACAGCCACATCAATGTTTATAGCAGCACAATTCACAATAGCTAAACTGTGGAACCAACCTAGATGCCCCTCAGTAGATGAATGGATAAAAAAAATGTGATATATATATACACAATGCAATATTACTCAGCAATAAAAGAGAATATAATCATGGCATTTGCAGGTAAATGGATGGAGTTAGAAAAGATAATGCTAAGTGAAGTTAGCCAATCCCAAAAAAACAAATGCTGAATGTTTTCTCTGATATAAGGAGGCTGGTTCATAGTGGGGTAGAGAGGGGGAGCATGGGAGGAATAGATGAACTCTAGATAGAGCAAAGGGGAGGGAGGGGAAGGGAGGGGGCATGGGGTTATTAATGATGGTGGAATGTGATGGTCATTATTATCCAAAGTACATGTATGAAGACATGAATTGGTGTGAATATACTTTGTATACAACCAGAGATATGAAAAATTGTGCTCTATATGTGTAATAAGAATCATAATACATTCTGCTGTCACATATAAATAAAAAAAATTTAAAAAAAGAACTTACCCCTTACATAAATAAATAAAACACAAAATTCTGCCAGAGCATCAGCTGCTAAGGGGAGAGTTAGCTGGCATTTGCAACATCCCTACAAAGAGAATCCACAGGACGGAGCACATTCTCAGGATCATCTCATCCAATCCTCATAACAGAGTCTGCAGAGTAGTTATGACCATCTTTTTTCAGATAAAGTCTGTTTGGGAGGTCACAGAGCTAAGTGGCAGATGGAATTCTAAGCCAAGTTGTAAAGGAGAGCCCATGACTCTCAGATGCCTGCGTGTGAGAATAGTGGTGATGGAGTATTTTAGCCCCAAGGGGGAAGAAGACAGAGGGCCCAATGGGACACAGCATCCTTCCCTTCCTTAGAGTCCTTTGCAAAGCAAATGCTGTGTCACCTAGAGCTTTGCTGAAACAGTGGCTGGGAAGGGGTGGCCTGTGGACAGCTGGGCATGGCCTCTTCCTGGCTCCCCCAAATCTTCACACAGGCACTGGTGTGTAGGAAGGACAGACACTGCCCTGGAAAGGAAGGACTGGATTCTAGTCCCTGCTCTCTCTGTCGCCAAGTGTGACAGGGCAAGTTGCTCCCCTTGTTCCCTTCTCTGGTGTTGGTTCAACATCCATAAAATAAGGCTAACCACCTCGGCTAGTAAGGGGGAAAGATCCTTTTGCACACTAACAGTGTTTCTTATGAATTACCATCAAGCAAGGCAGGTGAATGTACGTACGCATTGATCTCTGTTCCCTCTTGCAACCCACTAAAAGATGTACAAAGGGATTTAAATAAAATAGATGGCAGAGGAAGAGAGAGGAGATATCAGGGGACAAGGACATAAACATGCTTTGGGGAAGGATCAGCAGACCTGAGAAGGCCGCAGGGAAGACAACAAGAAGCTGGTGCTCCTGCTACAAAACCCAGGGCAGGCCTAGGCACTGGAGGCACCAGTGTCTCAAAACACAGGTACCAGATCAATAGGAGAGAGAGCAAGCTACACACGACCCCACCAATCCCTCGCCCCCTCTCAGGGACTGGAGGGTTAGTGCGTGGAGAGGTGCCCCGTGGCCTAGTGGAACTAGGCAGATGGGCACCTCAGCAGGAGTAGAGGGGTGAGGGGAGGTGCACAGACGGCAGGAGGCCCCCCAACCCTTCCCAGGACTAGCAACCACACCTACCCCAACCCAGGATGGAGAAGTCTTTTCTAGTGGAACCAAATAGATCCAGAGAAAAGCCCTAAAAACATTAGAGTGAATGACCAGATCCCCAGCCAGGCTCCTGGTATTGTTATGGTGCTGTCCTCTGACACCTGAACCGATGATGGAGGAAAAGGAACTTAGAGGAACAGGACCCAAAGCAGGGAGCAGGACACACTGCGTACTTGACACAGAACTGAGTGTTATTGAAAGAAAAAAAAAAAGAGAGAGCAACCCACAAGAGCAAAAGATCTCCTGGAAATTAAAAAAATATGAGAGTCAAAATTTTAAAAGGCAAGAAGAGTAGGGTTGGAAAACAAAGACACGGAAATTTTACCAGAAAGACGTAGAACAGAATAGGCAGAGATGGAAAATGAGAAGCTGTGCCCAGTGGCACACACCTGTAATTTCAGCAGCTTGGGAGGCTGAGGCAGAAGGATCACAAGTTCAAAGCCGGCTTCAGCAATTTAGCAAAACCCAGTCCCAAATAAAAAGGGATGGGAATGTGGCTCAGTGGTTAAGTCCCCAGAAGGGAAGGTGCTGAGTTTCCAGATGGAGGACACCACTAAATACCCAGCACAGTGGGTCACATCACCATGGAATTCCAGAACTCAAGAGAAGGCCCTGGAAACTTCTAGAGAAGAGAAACGCAAGTCACAGAAAGCCAGAATGGTATCAGCCTTCTCCACAGCCATGCTGAAAATCAGGAATCAGGGAGCAAAGCCTTCAAAATCCCAGTTTAGGATTTTATTTTCATCCAAATTATAGATCAGCTGTTGGGAGTGGGAAAAATAAAGAACACTTTCAGGCATGCAGTCTGTCAAAAGAAAATCCTACCTTCCAAAGTTCTTTCTCAGGAACCCTCTGGAATAAGAGAGTGAATCAAGAAAGAGGAAGGCACAGGATTACTTTGATAAAAATAAAAGATTTTTTGAAATTGCACTCAACAGCTGTTCGTTTTTTTTTTTTTTTTCCCTGAGCAATCTGGTCCCCAGGATCTGGTCCCCGAGCCTTACAATTTCTAGAAAACAAAACACTGAATTCTAAAGTGCAGGTTTATTCACATTTGAACATTTCTGAAATTGAGATTATATTGCAACAGATGGCCTCTTAGGCCTACACAACACATTTAATATTTACAATCTCCTTTCTATTTTCCATGTCATTTTACGTACCTTTTCTTTCTTAAGTTTCACAACAACTTCCTGAAATGAGTTTAACAACCCCTTTGTGAGCCCCAGGGAATTAAGACTCCGTGCAGTGGAGTTATCCAGGCTGTGTGGGTCAGGGATAGAGGATTCAGTGTTGAGTAAGTACCTTTTCCTTACCAAAAATTTTAGATCATCATCTCATTTGAGCCTCCTCAGCCACCTGCTCATTTGACAGTTGAAGGAAACGAGGCTCAAAGGAGTTAAGCAACACGTCCCAACTCACACAGCCAGTAGTTGGCACGTAGGTGGTCACGATCTGAAGGTGACCGTCTCTGCACTGCCTCTGCTGTTTGGCTGGCTTTAGAGGAGCCCACTGCTTCTAAGATTCAGTCATGTTCCATGGGAACCAAGCATGGGGAACCCCCAGTCCATCCCAGGGTCAACCCTCCCCCTCCCCTCCCCCCCTTGCCCCTCTCCTGCAGCTCCAGCTGCACTCACTGCATGATCCTGTCCCGGTTCAGATCTGAGAGGTAGCGCTTGGGTTCACCCATGTACAGGGACCGGTATCGCTGCCGTGTGTCCTTGTTCTCCAATCGCGTGGTATTGAGGTAGCGGCCCACCCCTACTGGGTTCTGTGCCAGGGAGAAGAGGGCAGGACATTAGCAAGCCTGCCTCAGACACGTGATCTCAGGCCTCCTCCTCTCCCCTCCGACCCTGCCTACCCCAGCTGTTACGAGTTGGATCACGCCCCCCAGAAAAGATATGCTGAAGTCCTAACCCCAGTACCTGGGAATGTGACCTTTATGGGAATAGAGTGGTTTCAGATACAATGGGCTAAGATCATTGGCATAGGGTGGGACCCTGATCCAAGGCCACCCTCAGAGGCAGAGATTAGAGAGTTGCATTCACAAGGTGGGGAACACTGAGGATCCCAAGGATCGCTGCCAGGAGCTACAAAGAGGCAAAGAAGGACCCTCCCCTACAGGTTTCAGAGGGAGCGTGTTCCTGCTGACACTTGATCTCAGTCATCTAGCCTCCACAGCTGCTCTTTCTGAGAGCTCGTTTCTGGTTGTGAAGCATGTCTGCAGTGCTCTGTCCTGCAATCCTAGGAAGCGCATCCACCATCCCACCCAGATATCTGCCTACAGAGGTTCAGGCAGGAGACGAAATTTGCCAGGGTGACACAGCAAAGCAGAATAAAGGCAGGACAGGAATCCAGCCAATCACAGGCAGCAGTGCTGAGGGGAGACATGCCGACCCAACGTCTAGACCAGTGTCCAGTGGACTGCCTCCCACAGGACCACAGGAGAAGTCTACTCAGAAACACGGGCTCCCTGCTTGGGGTCCTGTCCCATCACTGAAACCCATCACATGTCAGCCCTTCCTACTTCAGATGATGACCTTGAGGTGGCAGTGTGGTCATTTGGCTCCAGTCTAAACATTTAACTGGGGGGACCCAAAAGCTCAGGTTGGGGAGTACAGGATAGGGAGGGGTGGAACCATAAGAAGGTGAGTAAATTATAAGTAAGATGTGCCAAGGGAGACTAGGACAGACCTTAAAAACAGTCACTCAGGGGCTGGGGATGTGGCTCAGTGGTAGAGTGCTCGCTCGCCTAGTACGTGCGAGACCCTGGGTCCGATCCTCAGCACCACATAAAAATAAATAAAATAAAGGTATTGTGTCCAGCTATAACCGAAAAATAAAATATTAAAACAAACAAACAAAAACCCAATCGTTCAAAGTCAGGCAGAACTCCCCTGAGCTACTGGAGTCAGGACAGGGCTACCTGAAGGGGACAGAATGCACAGGAGACCCTGGGGTGCACAGAATGTGCTCTTGAATGCTCTGGGGGTTGGTCACAGAACAGGAATCCAGCCAACCACAGGCTGATCACAGGGCAAAGGCATTCTTTGGAGTTGTTCACTTAGGATTTCCTGTGTCTTTCTGTGCAATCATTAGTCGCCAATAAAAGGTGCACTTAAAAACTGAAGGGAGGGAGGGAGGAACAGAATGAGGACAGGCCTTTGGCCATGTGTGTACATGAAGGAGGCATGTGCAAAGCCCAAGAACTGGCCTTTTATACAAGAACACTGCAAGCTTGTAAGTTCCATCACACACATGGGGATGGCTGCCTCTGGGGACAAGGAAGAGAACAGGGTCAAGATGGGGGGACTTGCTGACCCAGGGATGAAAAATGGGCCAGCTCCAGCAGCTGCCCCTGAGGCCACAAGACAAATACAAAGAGAAAATGAAAGAATCGTTTCCCTGGGAAACTAAGAGAATGGGCCAGGGTGGTCTGAGATGGCTTAGCTGGCTGCTTCTCAAAGTGTGGTCCCTGGAACAACCTCACCACCGTCATCTGAAAACTTGTTAGAAATGCCAATGCTTGGGCCCTATCAGGCCTTCTGTGTCAGCCACCTCTGTCCTAACAAGCCTGCAATGGTGCTGCTACCTGGAGTTAGCCAAAGCCTTGGCAGAAGAAAGACAGTGGGAGGGAGGGAGAGATGGCCTCCAGCTCCATTTGAGGATCAGTGCTCAGGGGCAAGGAGGGTTCAAGGCTGCCTATAGAGGCAGGGGGGTTCCCTGCCTGTCATACATATCCGCCACCCCAGGCCCACTCACCCAGCTTCCCAAAACTATCTGGTTGGTCTTTACACCTGAACGCTTAGAGGCCAGGAGGAATGGCGGCCGGTTGACGTGTTTGATCTCTGTCTCTTGAGGAAGCCATGAACCAGGGCCAGATGTGTTCTAGGGGAAGAAATGAAGGCCAAGTATTGAAGAGGTCCTGGAAGTACCCAGCCAGGGCAGGTGGGGGTTCCTGGCAGCAGTCTTACCTGCTCAGCAATGCTGGGCCTTGAGTCAAGGACAGGGGACACGAGGGGACCCTGTAGTGCCCTCATGACCCATGCATCCCACTTTAACCACCCCCAGCCTGACATCTCTTCTCAGGTTCCTGAGAGACCTCATGGTCGGGCAGGGTCCAGAGAGATACTCCAGACAGCAGCCTGGGGAGAGACGGCACACAGGCCCTGGAGCGGGGTGTCAGCCCAGCTCATTCCCTCCCCTGCTGGGGGAACCCGGCAAATCCCTTCCAGCAAATCCCTTCCCAGGTCTGGGCCTCGGTTTCCTTTGGTGAAATACAAATGCTGACCCCTGGGGGTGTGGTGGAAAATGGCCAGCAGGCCTTCAGAAGCTGCCTGTGTCTTGTTTTCCTCTGCCCATTCCAACTCCAGGTCCATGCCCTTCTAGACAGACCCAATCTGGGGGGCCTGAAGAAAGCCCAGGGCCTATGCAGAGCACTGACTGTCCCCTTCAAGTCCCCCACCCTAGAGAGCACTGCCTTGAACCAGGCTGAGCCTGCTAGTCCCTGGATGGAGCAGGTGGGCAGACCTCTGAAGGTGGACCCCTTACAATCTGCCAGATCCAGTCTCCCCTTGCCCTCTCTCCAGCTCTGGAGGGCCAGTGGGGGAGGGCAGCGTGGATATCAACACTGGCTGAGCATGACCAGGGAACCAGGCACGGCAGGCTCTAAGCTTCTAGAAAAATCTAATGCTCACAGCCGCCTCTCTGTCCTCAGAGGGCAGGTGTATAATGAGGCTGGCAGAAGAAGAAAAGTGTAAGGCCAGGATTGGAAACAGGTGGGTCTGTCCCTAAAAATGAGCTTCTCGGGGCTGGGGTTATGGCTCAGCGGTACAGCGCTTGCTTTGCATGTGCAAGGCCCTGGGTTCGATCCTCAGCACCACATAAAAATAATTTTTTAAAAAAGTTATTGTGTACACTACAAAAAAATAAAATTTTTTTTTTAAAAATGAGCTTCTCCCCGCCACAAACAAGCCACCACACCCCACCTCCCCAGCCCATAAGGGAGCTGCCTTTGGACACTGACTAGTTTTCGGGGGCACTGGCTAAGGGTAGACCAGTAAATCCTCTCTGGAGGGGTTTTCGGGTCGCGGGGAATTTCTGAAAAAACTCCATGCTTCTTATTGTGACGTGAGTTAAGTTCATCCACGAAGCTCTTGAAATTCACCAGTTCCCTGGGCCTTTTTTTCTGAGAGAGAGAGAGAGAGAGAGAGAGAGAGAGAGAGAGAGAGAGAGAGAGAGATGTTATTGCAGAAAAGTCAAGAGCTCACCCTCTTCTTGACCCTCACTCACCAGTAATCCAAGGTGTCATTCACTACCCCACTGGGACATCCCTGGGTCAAGCTATGCAAGGGCCAGGCCAGCCCCAAGTCCCACTATGGCCCCAGGTTGGGGGTGGAGTCAGTCTTTTGCACCCTCCACCTCTGGGTTACACCCTGAGACCCATCATGCCTTTATCCGTTCTTTCTTTCCCTGATTTATTGGACATATAATGAGGCAGGCACTGGTCTAAGCAGGAATCATATTTTGAATATATAAAAACCAGTGTAAGGGGCTGGGGATGTGGCTCAAGCGGTAGCGCGCTCGCCTGGCATGCGTGCGGACCGGGTTCGATCCTCAGCACCACATACAAAGATGTTGTGTCTGCTGAAAACTAAAAAATAAATATTAAAAATTCTCTCTCTCTCTCACACTCTCACTCTCTCTTTAAAAAAAAACAGTGTAACTGGCAGAGAGAAGAGAATTTTTAGGGCCACAAAACTATGATGTAGAATATGAAAACAGTGGATACAGTCATGTGTGTCAAAACCCACAAAAAGAACACCACCAAGAGTGAGCCATCTTGCAAACTTTAGGCTTGGTTGACAAAGGTGTATCACTGTAGGTCCACTGATCATAACAAATGGACCACTCTGGCGCAGGATCTTGACAGGGGTGGGAGGGGGAGAAGATCCATAGAAACTCTACTTGCCACTCAATTTTGCTGTGAACCTAAAATTGCTCTATAAAGTAAAGTCTATGAGGACAGAACAAACAAGCACAGGCAGTGTGGCCTGGCACCTGCCAATCAGAGTCAACTGGCTGCAGCATCAGCAGAGAGGGTCCCGGAAGCCCCTGTGGCAGGATGGTGGTTTCCATGACTGGTCAGTGAAAGTCTGAGGGATTCCAGGGAGCAGGCAGGTCTCAGGGCAGAGGCTCTTAACCAAGTGGCCCAGACGTATTCACACATTAACCACCACTCTTCTAGCTCTGACACCCTCTTCACCTGCTAACACTCCAAAATTTCTTTCCTAGTCATAGATGATTGTTTCTCTTTCATTAAGATATGGACTCCCCAGGGCTGGCCTCCCGCACCTAGACTGATAGTAGACAGAGGGTGAACACGCAGTGGAGGCTGTGTGAACAGGTAGGTGGTCAATGACTCAGTCCCAACTGCTATGAGCACAAGGAAAACAGAGCCCAGTGAGCTGTGGAATCCTGTGACAGGAATGTGATGGGGGCAGGAAGGGTAGTGGCAAGCTGGAATCCTACCCCAGCTTCCCCTCCCGCTTGTCAGTTCTCTGCCTCGTTAGCAGAGCACTGACACGAGCCCAGCCCCTGTGCTGGGTCTGTGAAGCCTGGGAAATGCTTCTGGAATAGTGGGACACCCACATTTGTGTCTTCAGGAGCCCTGCAGGCCCCACAGCTAGTCACCCACACAACCCTGACATCATGGGTCACCTGAGCCCCAGTGCAGCACCTGCTGGTGCAGAGAAGAGAACCGGCCACAGAATCAGACAGTCTACCCGGAGTCCAATTGCAGCTCTGCTGTGTGGCCAGCCTCAGTCTCCTCATTCAATACAGAAGCCGACGTGTCCCTCCCTGGCTCTGGGGGTGAAGGGGGCAGGGTGTGGGAAGGGCACTGAGCAGCATTTGGCACATAAAGCAGTGGTCCTAGGATAGGCGAGTAAGGGCTGTTATCTGCTGAGGAAATAACCCCATGAGCTACCCAGGTACACACCTGCACAGAGTAATGTCCAAAAGGCAGGGGCTTGCTTCGGTCACCAGAGAAAATGTCATAGGGGCCGCGGGTGCCAGTAGATCGTGCCAGGTAGGTCTCGATGCCAGTTTTGAAGGAGTAGGTGCCAGGTCCTAAACCACTCCCCTAGAGCACGGCATTGTGACAGTGTCTGGTGGGGAGCCATGGGGGTAGGCCTCTCAGGCCCTCAGTTTCCCCATCAACCCTAGGAACCCCCTCCAGAACCACGTGAAAGAGCCTGGCCAGGTTGGGGGTACCTGAGGAGCCTCAGGTGGTGACTTGTTTGACATCCTGCACATGAGGCCCTCGGAATGGGACCGGTTCCAGGCATTCTCCTCCAGCCGCGTGTATGGGTTGCCCTTCTCCCCATAATTCCCGGGGCCTGGATAATAGTTCTGTGGGACACAAAGTGGGGACATACAGGCCACCAGTCCTGCTCTCATTGTGGGTGCATCTGAGGAAAAGGCTTATAAGATCTCCACCCCCACATGGGGAACAGGATTTTCAGGCTGCCCGAGTGTCCCCATCCCCAATGCACACCACATCACCCATGAGCCTCCAAGCTCACGCCTTCACCTCTAAGTCTGTCTTCGTCACGAGGACCCGCTGTCCGGTCCAAGGCATGCCTTACCATTTGCTTTCTACATGCCATGCTTCAGCAAGCACCGCTCCTTGTGCAGCCTGAGCACATGACATTCTGCCAAACCTCCCTGCCCTGGCTCGCTTGTGCCTCACGCCACCTCAAATGCCTGTCCTGCTCTCTTCACCTTGGGAAATTCTACTAATCCTGCAAAGCCAGCTGGAACATCATCTCTCCGGAGAATGAAGGTTTCCTTCCCCTGTCACCCCAGGGAGTTGCCTGCTTCATGGTCTCAGCAGTTTCGTCCTTGGCACCCACACCTGCGTGAATGGCTTTCTCACTGTGTGGTGAACAGTGCCGGGGAACAGAAACAACTGGAGTCCTGGTTCAGATCCGGGCACAGCTGCTTCCTAGCTGAATGAGCTCAGGCTTCCTGAGCTTTACGGTGCATATTGATAACAAGGGGATGGCAATACCTTCCTTCAGGGTAACAACTACCAAGTTCAATAAGGTCTGAAAGTCCCCTGAACGGTGCCTGGCACATAGTGAGCATCCACACATAAGCAGGGCAGAATGACTGACAGTCCTGGGGGGCAGGAGGAGTTAAGAACTGTGACTGGAATGACCATCTGGAGCCTGGACTGCCAGGGTCAAAGGGTGGCCCTTTGTGGGGAGAATCTACCTGCAGTATAGGGGATGGGTGGGCATCCTTAGGCAGAGACCTGGCAGGACTTTTTCAGCGGGTCTGCACCTTTTAGCCACGTGGGGTCACTGCTGCTCCACAGATGGTTCAGCCCTGTCTACCTCTGGGTCCTGGAAGCTGGCCCTGGGCGGAGATATCAGGGACTTGGGGAGCTCAAGCCACTGTGGGCATCAGATAGTTTGTCCCCAGAAGAATGAGACTATACCTTGCCTCCCTCCAAAGCTCAGGTGCCCTGGTGTGTTCTAGAGAAAATCCCCAAGGGTAGGAAGGAAGCTGGGCCCCTAAATTGTGTGCTAGATGTATCGAAAGCCTTAGTATCTTGGTCTTGGTGGCAACCTGATGAGATCATGTTGACACCATCCACAGTTAACAGAAAGGGACCCTGAATCTCAGAGAGGCAAGCCACATGTCCAGATTCCTCCCACATCCAGAAACAGGCATGAGGGCTCCGGCTCTAAGACCCTGTCCTTCCTGAGCCCATACTGTTTGCCTGGCACTGGGATAGGGGACAGAGTGCACTACAAGTCCTGGGGTGGGCCCTGACCCAGGAGTTCATGGATGGAGCTAAGCTCTGTGTTGGGTTTGTCAGCATAATCTCATTTCTTCCATAAGATCTTCAAGTTTAGAAGTTTTATATCACATTAGGCTGGTGTGAAAGCCTGATTTTTAACTAGAATGTGATGCTGTCAGAGCTTTTAGGACCCAGGCAGGATTAATTGGAGAAGAGAGTTGAGGAATGAATGGTCACTAATAAGAAATATATGTAATATATATAAATGTATGTAATTTACATTATATATGTATTTACATAACATATAATTTTTAAAATTTATGTGTGTGTATGTGTGTGTGTGTGTGTGTGTGTGTATATATATATATATATATATATATATATATATATATATATATAAAAAATCTGGAGCTTGAAGAATGAGAAGGATCCCCAAAGAAAGATATGGAAGAAGGTGGGAAGTTCCCCCAAGCAGAAGGAGCAAACACAGATTCCCTAGTGCTGGAGACACTCTCAGACTTGTCCCCCCAATTTCTCTGCTATCAGCTGGGTTGAACCCCACAGAGACTCTCTCCTGGACAGAAAAGGAACAAAATCCAAGAACTGAGGGAACCAAGCCTCTGGGCTTTGTTTATATGATGGACACCTTGGATTCCAATTCTGCTACTGTCACCTAGTAGCTCTGTGACCTTTGAGCGGTTTGACCACTCACACCCTCTACTCCAGTTTTGTCACCTGTGAACACAATAGTGGTGCTTCCTTCATAGGGCTGTTGTGAGGATTAAATTAATTAGTACATGGCAAGTGCTGGCGGGTATCAGCTATTATTATTTGGATTGGAAGGCAGTGACTCACTTTCAAAGGCCTCCAGGCACTCTGCTCCCTAGGGGGTGGGGGGGGGAGCTTCTGCACCTGGAGATGCATCCATTTGCTCTCTGTCCACTGGTCTAATTTGCCAAGCGTGCTGGCACCCGGGTCCTTAGCCTCTGCTGTTCCCACTGTCTGGAATGTTCAAACACAGATATCATAAGTCTCTACTGCTCATGTCCTGCAAGTTATGCTCAAATGGCACTTCCTCCCAGAGGCCTTTCCTCACTGTGTTCTATAAACTGCCCTGCTGGCACTCTCTAGCTCTTCCCTGTGTCATTTGTCCTCTTAGCCCCAATTAAATATGTATTTCCTTCTTTGATCTATTGTTTTTACCACTAGGATGTCTGTTCTATGAGGGCAGGAACCTTGTCTTTGTTGTTTTTGTTGTTGTTGTTATTATTAGTGTAGTTGGACACAATGCCTTTATTTATTTTTATGTGGTGCTGAGGATCGAACCCAGGGCCTCGCACATGCTAGGTAAGCACTCTACCGCTGAGCCACAACCCAAGCCCCTTATCTTTGTTATTTCCAGATCCCCAAGGCCTAAGACAGCACTTAGTAGGCACTTACTGGTGATTTCCTGGTTGGCTGACTGGATACATAAATGGATGAATTCATTGAGCACCTAATATATGCTGGGTTATTTTCTGGGAACCTAAAAATGAACCAGACCCATCCCTGCTGAAATCGTGAAAGCCAGGGAAGCAGAGGGACCGTGGAGACCCAGGGGAGAGTCTGGCCAAGTCTGGGGAAGAGACAGGTACAAGGAAGGGCATTTCCAGAACCACCCAGGCTGCATGGTCTGCCACAGACTGCATGGTGGGGTGGAAGGATTCCTCTGCAGACAGCCAAGAGGAGCTCAGAACACGTACCCCAATGAGACCTCGGAAGCGGATCTCCCCAGAGCTAAGCAGCCCCCGCTTGCTGCCTGGCTTCTGCTGCAACTGTTGTAAGAAGTCTTTGAAGTTGTAAGAGCCAGGTCCCAGCTTTTGCTCCTGCACCAAAAGAACACGAGAGGAAAACTATAAACTAGGGAATGTCCACACAGGAAGGAGCCCAAGGGATGGTGTTGCTCCCTCAAGAATGAGCTCTGCCTGGCCCTGCCCCGAGCTATGCTTGGAGCAGCCATAATAAATCAGGAGACATGCCCCAGTGGGCATGGTGCAAAGCCCTCACCTGCAACTTCCTCTCTCTCACAACGGTCTGGTACCGGAAGTGGGGCAGCTGGGTCAGCCGGATGGCTTGCTGGGCCAGAGCCCAGCCTGTGTCCACCTCCTTCTTTGGCTTCTTTTTGCTGAAGCAGGTCTCCTTGGAGCTATAGGTTCCAGGACCTATGTGGGACTGAGAGGGAGTGTGGTCAGAGTGGGATAGTCACATCCACCCAGGCCAACCCCAGAGCAAATCCTCCCCAAGCTGCCCTTGACCTGTGATTGGGCCAGAGTAACAATCTGGCCCAATCACAGGTAAGTTATCCCCCAGCAGTAAGCCTGGCACCCAGAGGCTGGTCCTCAAGGAGCTCTCACGACCTCCTCTGTCACTGGGCTTTTTCCATTGAGGGAGGTACAGTGAGTCCTTGAGAGCCTGCCGCTGGACAGAACAGGAGCTGGGAAAGGAAGCCAGGTCACCTGTGGCCCCCAGCATGCTGTTTCACCTACCGTCCTGCATTTATCAAACACATCAGAAGCCTGACTCAGAGGCAGGCTCAGTGCTGGGGGATGTGACACAGCTGACACAGCTCAGCTGCCACCAGGGTGGGCCTCTCAGAGGAGCAGTGGCCAGACCACGTGGGAGGCTGCAGGGAGGCAGTGCCCACTCACCACTTCCACAGAATGATGCGTGGAGTACGGGGTCTCTGTGAAGGTGCTGTATTTCTTCTGGTTGGGATAAACAGCAGACGCATCAAATCTAGGAGGGACAGAGGCTCAGTAAGAGCCCAAAGCCTGGCACCTGGTCCTGACCTGGGTGGTCCTCAGGATGGGAGGAATTGGCTTCCTAGAGAAGGTGACTTTGGAACCAGTCCATGAAGAACAGAAGGGTTGTAGTGGCTTTGACCATCAGGGTGCTGCTCCACCCGAACCATCCCACCCACACCCACCCTCCTGCTCCTTCTTCCAGCTTGGTGTTTCTCCAAAGACCTTAGCACTCCCCAACATATCTCCCCCTACCACACCACACACACACACACACACACACACACACACACACACACACATTCCCACAAGAATGCAAACTCCTTAAGTGTACAGTTTACTGTTTTGCTCACTGCTGTAGCCACAGATCCTAGGATTGTGCAGGGCACATAGTAGGTGAGAGAGAGAGAGAGAGAGAGAGAGAGAGAGAGAGAGAGAGAGAGAGGGAAGAAATATAGGACATCTGGACTGAAATCCCAACCATGACTTTAAAAGCTGGGCCTACTATAGGCCAGGCGGTGTGGCCTTTCTAAACCTTGCAGAGAAGTTGCAGTGGTCATGTTTTTCAAGAACTTACTAAGGAAGTGGAAAAGAAAGAACAAAGGAAAGGAAAGGAAAAGAAACAAAGCTTAGTATGGTGACAGCTTGAAAGAAGCTTAGGAAGGGAACAGCCTGGGCCAGGAGGTGCTGCAGATGTGCAGAGGGGTGGGGAGGGCCAGCCCCCCAGTGCCCGCCTCTCCTGGACTCTAGCCCACCCAGGGGTCTCTGCCCCTCCCTCCCAGGGAGAGTGGCTGCGACGGGCCCCTCAGGCCGCCTTGGAAAATATGTGCCAGCGCAGGATGAGGGTGGGCCCCACCTGTGGCTCTGCACCCCGAAGGGAGCCCCTTGGAACCACTTGGCCGCATACATGGCGCTGGCGTGGCCCGGGCCGGGAGTCCTGCGGGCGCCTGGCTTCCACCGCTGGCAGCGCCTCCCGCGCCTGCTGGGCGGGCTGGCGGCCGCCGCCGCTGCCACGGCAACCCGGCCTTGTGATCCGCGGAGCCCCGGCCGCGTCGGTGCCCGCGTGGCGCCCTGCCGAGGAACCCGTGCCGCCTCCTGGCGGTTTCATTTTAATTTTTTTTTTTTAAATGAACTTAGGTCCACAGCTTCTGAAACTCAAAGCACATTTTTTTTAAATTTTAATATTTATTTATTTATTTTAGTTCTTGGCGGACACAACATCTTTGTTTGTATGTGGTGCTGAGGATCGAACCCGGGCCGCACGCATGCCAGGCGAGCGCACTACCTCTTGAGCCACATCCCCAGCCCTCATTTTAATTTTTTTGACGCCCCCTGGCCACTGCACCGTCCCAAGCCCCTGCAGATATAGGAGACCCAGCTGGTGTTGAAAGAGGGTGGCCGCCCCTGGGTGGGGCTTTAGAGTCACCCGCTGAGGAACTGTTTCTGATTTCTGCAGGGCTCCTCCAAGAGAGGCGAGAACGTTCAGAGTGCCACCTGTAGTTGACCTTCTGCCGACAGGACCCTGAATCCCGCCAGAGGGCAGACTAGGGCAAAGTGCACCCCGCTCCGTCTTCCCCAAGTGGCAGAGGGAAGGAGGAGAAAGGGGACAGTCAGGGAGGGCTGGGTAAGGCTGGACCTACAAGTGGAGGGATGCAGGAATGCTGGGTGACAAGGTACCTCCAGACACCCTGACAACCACTCTGGGCAGACACTGTGCAGAGTGCCCAGGACGCAAATTTGTGGTCCCTGCCCTGAGTCTAGTGGGGAAAACAATGACCACACAGTATGGTCAGGCCAAAGAGAGAGGAAGGCCTCAGACCCAGCTTGTGGGTTGGCAGGTCAGGGAAGGCTTTTGGAGAAAATTCCAAACTTCACAATATTGAAGCATGTTTGACTTGTCAGTCCACGAAGAGTTGAGGGTGTGTCTACCCACAACAGGCACAAGTTAGCCCTCTCTTCCTTTCTCCTACCTCACCTCCCACCTGTGTCCGTGGTTGTGCTAAGAGATTGACAATTATCTTCTCCATAATCACCTTTGATCCTCCCAAGGGCCTTAGACAAGGACTTGGCAGAGACCTACACCCCAATTCCATGGTGACAAAAACAAAGCCCAAGAGAGGTAGGATGTGCCCCAGGTCCTGCATCCAGTCCCTGGCAAAATAAACGAGAGGCACAGTGGGTCTCCTTCCAGGCCCAAGCTGGTATTTAAATAAAGGTGGCCCTCAAGCACAGCCCACAGATGGACATTTGAGCTCCAGGCCTGGTGGGCATATGGCCACAGCTGGTAGAACTGCACTGCTGGGCTGACAGTTAGAGGCAACAGGCCTCAGGAATACACCCAAAACTGAGTCACCTGGGCTCAGCCTTTGCTCCTCCCCAGCAGTGGAACTTTAGGTAAGTCACCTTCTTTTCTGTATTTCTGCATTCTTATCTGCAAAATGAAGCTGATAAATCTGTCTCTACAGACTGCTATGAAAAATAAGTGACCTAATTTAGGTAACACTCCTAGTATACTGCAGGAGCTCAATAAGGTCATTCTCAGTTCTTGGAAAGAGATCTTGCAGAAGCCTCCATCTAACAGCCAGACTATCTCATCCACTCCTGGCACAGTTCATACCACACAGTAAATGTTCAATAAATATCTGTTGAGTGACAAGTGAATGGATAAATGAACATAGTCCAACTTCCCCAAAGCACAAATCCTCAGCAACTGACTGCTTCCTAGCTGGTGGCTTTAGGCAAAATACCCTCACCAAGCTTCAATTTCCTCACCTGGGACAGGGACACAGGGCTGGCGCTTCCTGGAGGAGCTGTTTTGAGGTGTCCAGGAGGTGTGTACACTGTCAAGCCCTGTGCACTGAGGACCTTCCACCAGCCAGGGTCTGTTCACATGTGCTCACAGAGGCACAGACCTGCCCGCAGAGGCTCTGCAGCTTCTCTTTGGGCCTGATCCCTGTGGTTCAGGGACTCATGGAGTAGTGACAGAAGAGGAAGCCAAGGTGCACTGGGCTGGGAGTCCCCCTGCCAGGCAAGCCGGAACAGGCAGGTTGAGTCAGTTCTTCAGCAAGACAGCCCGCCAGAGGCAACCCCCTGCGTCCCCAGCACAGCAACTTCCCTATCCAACAACCAACTCATTCCCTCCTGTAGGCACTATTCTAACATCGCCCGACTCTTACTGTACAGAAAAGGAAACTAAAGCTCAAACAGAGAATAAATTGTCCTGGTCATATCCGGTCAATTATATAGGTCACAGAGCGGACATGGGACTCTAGGACATTTGAGAGCTTCCTGGCTGCAAGGCTTAACCACCCAGACCCGGGAGCCCTGTGTCCTGTCATTGGATGTAACCCAGCCTTCCAGGCAGGACTGAGGGTTCTGAGTGGGCTTTGGCTGCTGTCTTTGGTCCTCATTTCCTGTCACCTCTTCCCCAGGTTCTATGAGCTACAGCCATCGGGGCTGTTCTGTCCCTAGGACACACCTGGCACAAGAGGAACCTCTGACATTTTCAAACCTTTTCTGCTTCTGAAAAACACACACACACAACCTCCTTCCCCTCTCAACTCCTACTCATCATCTCAAAGTCAGATCAAAAGCTGAGCCCACCCATCAGGATGGTTATTAGAAAAAGAAATAGTACAAGACACATGTGGGCAAGGATGATGAGAAATTAGAACTTTTGTGAATTGCTGGGGTGGGGAAAATAAAAGATGCAGCTGCTTTGAAAACCAGCATGGGATACTCTCAAATAATTAAACGTAGAATTACCATATGACCCAGAAATTCCATTTCTAGGTATATACCCAGAAGAATTAAAGGCAGGAACCCAAACGTCTACTTGTATAATACACCTCTGTTCAAAGCAGCATTGACCAAAATAACCATAAGGTAGAAGCAACTCAAGTGTATACCAACAGATGAATGGCTCAACAAAGTGTGACATATACAGACAATGGACTATTACTCAGCCTTGAAAAGGAAGGAAATTCTGACTCATGCATTATGCTAAGTGATCTAAGCCAAACACAAAAGAACAAATATTGTGTAATTCTACCTACATGAAATACTAGGGTGGTCAAATACATAGAATGTGGGGAGCCAGGCACTGGGGGAAGGAGGGAATGAGGGGGTATTGTTTAATGGATATGGAGTTTCAATTTGGGGAGATGAAAAAGTTCCAGAGATGAAAGGGTGATGGCTGCACAATACGTGAATGTACTTAATGACCTTGAACTATACCCTTAAATGATAAATTTTGTTAAGTATATGTTGCCACAATTAAAAAAAAAAAAAAAAAAAAAAAAGCTAAAACCTCTGGGAATCCATCTCTGATACCCCAAGCAGTTGAAATAAGATTCATCTCATGATTGCCGGAAATTTATAGTAACAACTCCTTACTAAAAAGTATTAAATGTACTAAATACAATACCTAAAAATCAACAGGTTAAAAAATCGTACCAAAATGTTGATTTGATTTACCTTTCTATTGCAAAAATCAAATATTTCCCCTAACTTTACTGAACTGGCTCTATTTCCTCTTTTGAGAAGACTGGTGTATTTTTCAAGAAGATGAGGCAGCAGCCGGTGGTGGGAGCCCAGTCTCAGGTGGAATGAGGAGGGATCCAAAGTCCAGACCTGAGTCTGTAAGGCTCAGCCTCTAGAAGACTCCACCCTGCAGCAGGGAGCACCACTGCCCGGCCTGCAGGCTAGAGGTCAGGGGATCTCTCCAATCCTGAGAGGAAGACTGGCCAGAGCAAGAAAATTAGGGCCATAGGTGGGGTGCAGGACAGGATTGGGGCCAAGGGGAAAGAATAGAACAGAGTTTTATCCAGAGAGGCCAAGTATCAGGTTTAACCTCCTCTGGTAACTCCCTTCCCCTGGGGTAGAAACTGTCATCCTCATGTCACAGAGAAGGAAAGTAGAAAGAATGACCAATGATGTGTTATTAGGGTTGGAGAAATGGGATTAGAACCAGCACATGGAAGCCATAGTCTTTCCACAGGGGCCACTGCTGAGCAGAGAGCAGGCAGAGAAAGCCCAATGGTGAATAGTGGCCAAAGGAAGAGAGGAGGGAGGTGGCAGGCTCTATAGAGAGGAAGAGCACAGAGGAGCTGCGGAAAGGATGGGACAGCATCAGGATCCAGGGTGGCTTCCGCAGTTGGAAGGGCCAGTCCTGACAGCTCAGCTCACACAGAGAGGGCGGAGCCAGGCCAGGCCAGCCTTGGGCAAACTGGGTTCCAGGCCTCTTTGGGCACGCCCCACTTCTGTGTCCTGGGCAAATCCTTCTCCTCCTCTCAGCTTGTTTCCTCTTCTGCTGGGTAAAAAGTGAGAATCTGCCTTTTGCCTCCCACCAGGGTTTGCGCACCCCGCATTTGGCGATGCACCTGTTTTTCTGGCACACCTGGTTGTGCCATGCCGACGTCTAGCTGAGCAGCGAAAGCGGAAACAACTACAGGGAGTTCCCCAGCCAGCGCTGGGACCCACCCACCGGCGGGAGGCGCTGGGGACCTGGAGACGGGCGTGCGCTGGGCCACCGTGACTCACTCTCTTCGGGGGAGACCCCGTCCACTGCCCTCTTCAGCCTCGGGGGCCAGAGCGCGGCCAGAGGTGCAGCGAGACAGCCATGTCTGAGCCCGAGGTCGCAGCCGACGACCTGGACGCCTTCATCGACGACCTGGACTACCTCCCGGGCCACTTCCACCTAGAGATGCAGCTGAACTTCGAGCCGCATTCGCCGGCCCCGCTGCGCGCCCGGGATCTGAAACTGCAGCGGGAGGCCGTGCAGCAGGAGCTCGAGCTGGCGGCCGTCCCACAGCGGTCGGCCGTGTGTCACCTGCTGGGTGCTTTCGCCTTCTACCTGGAGGAGCTGGACGAGGCCCGGGAGCGCTTTCTCCAGGTGGTCCGCGAGGACCCGGGCAACCTCAATGCCTGGGCCAATCTGGCACATGTGTACGGGCACCTGGGCGAGGAGGAAGAGGAGGAGGCTTGCGCCGCGCGACTGGCTGACCTCATGGGCCTGGCGGCGGACCCGGAGGCACCCGCGGACCCCCAGCTCCGCGCTGCACGCTGCCTGGCGGAGCAGGGCTACGCGCACGGCTTCGACGTGGGCTGCGCCAGCCTGAAAGAACGCGCACGGGTACTGGCAGCTGGCATCGCGCTCTATGACAAGGCGCTGGGCTACGGGCAGCAGGTGGGTGACACCTTCTCCTTCGGCTGGAAAGGCTGTGGTCATGGTCTTTTGGTCTGTAGGGTTGTCCCCTGCCCCAAAGTCAACCTCGACCCTGGCCTTTGGCCTGTGGAATACCTTTCCAATGTGCATCCCCCATTTCCGTCCCAGACTAAACCCAAAGCTTTGCTATTTTGGCTAGGGAGAAGACCCTAGCAAGGCTGCTAGTCTAAGTCCCTCCTAAACACCACAAACCCTACCTGGCCAATCCAACCCTCTCCCTTGCTCCTTCCAGCAAGTACCTGTCCCCGTAACTGTGCACACCCACCTAATTAAAGGCACAGCCAGACAGCCTGCCAGAAACTCAGGCATTCCTGCCTCTTCTTTGCCACCTGCACATCTATCCATTCAGACCCCAAAGCTTGTCCACTCCACTTCCTGTACCTCTAAGGTCCACCCACTCCTCTCCAGCTGCCCTCAGCCAGTCTAGCCTCCATAATTGCCCACCTGGACCTGTGTAGCTGCCTTCCTCCTCTGGGGGCTCCTGCCCTCCAGCTTGACCCTTCTCCTCTATGCTGCCAGGGTAGTGTTGCTCCACCTTGCTGGCCAAGTCCCTCAGCCCACTCCCCACTGGTGGGCAGAAGAATCCTAGGCTCTTGAGTGGGCTTTGATGCCCACCCCCCACCCTGGGGATTCCCCTCTGACCTTCCTCTGCAAGTCAGGCTTTTGCCACATTTTACTTCCCTTCACTCCCCTCTAGGGAGCGACTCACCTTGTTTTCTCAGCCCCTTCCCCAGGTGCTCTTCTGCTCCACCTCTGCCAGGAAGGTCCTCTCCAGTCTTGGGTTTGTCTCTAGAAAGCCTCTGCCAGCTCCCCAGACTGGGTCAGAATCTCCTCTGGGCTCCCATAGTACTCCCGCTACTGTTTGTTTACAAGTCTACCTCTCTAACTCAATCTTGAGGGCTTTGAAAGAGGGAACAACATCCATCTGGTTTACCACTGTAAACCCAGTAACTGGAACATGATAGCATTTGATAAGCATATCTTCACCGGATGGATATATAGCATACGGCCTGCTACTGAATATGTACTAGGAATACTAGTCATCTATTGCTGAAAAAAAAATACCTACCAAATTAGCAGCTTAAAGCAATAAGATTTTATTCTCATACAGTTTGGGGTGGGGGTGTCAGCTATCTAGGCCTGGCTTAGCTCAGGACCCTTAGGCTGTGTTCTCATCCAAAGTCTTGCCTGACTGGGGGACCATTTGCTACCAAGCTAGCTCTCATGATTGTGAGTAGGATTTAGTTCTTCATTGGTTACTGGCTGACATCCATGGCCTTTGTCATATTCTGTTCTTTAGAAGCTAGTCAATAGGTCTATCCCACATTCACAGGAGAGGATTATAGGAGGTCATGAACCCCAGGAGGTGGGGATCTCTGGGGGCCATTTCAGAAGCTGCCTGCCACATGAAGCATCAGATGATGGATAAATGGTATGGAGGGCATTATCCTCTTTTATGAGAGAGACCATGCTAGTTCAGAGGGGTACCATGACTTTTCCATGAAGGCCAGTATAGTTTTAAGTTTGTGATATTTAAATAATTAGGCTAGGCATGGTAGTGCATGCCTGTAATCCCAGCAGCTCAGGAAGCTGAGGCAGGAGGATCTCGAGTTCAAAGTCAACCTCAGCAACTTAAATAATGACAAATTTTCACACATGGGTAGCACAGCTCAATTCATAAAACCTCTGTACTCCCCCCACAAGTGCCTTTTTCTCCAAAGTTCATAGCTTCTCTAAGGAGAAATGTGGCTGTTACATTTGCAGAGAGTACAGTTTGGAGGACAGGGACTTGATTTAAGGACAGCAGTGCAGGAAGGAGCCTCAAAGAGGAGACTCCAGGTCATACAGTCCAGGTTCAAATCCCAGCTCCCCCATGCTGACACCTCTAACCTGTGCTTAACATCTCTAAGGTCCTTTCCCTCTCTGAGATGGGGATAACGATGGTATGTCTGCCAAAGCTTTCTCATCAGTAATATGGAGGTACTGCTCATTTGGTTGATGTCATAATTAAGAGTTTCTACTTGTAAAGCTCCAAGAGGGAGCCTGTGCAGAAATGGGAAGGGTCACAGGCAACCCATCCATCTCCCCAGCTAGGAAGCCTCCCCTGGCCTGAGCTGGATGTTGATGTGACCATCATCTAGGGCCACGTCTCCAGTTTCACACCGTAGGTGCTGAGTGTGGTTGTTGCTGCAGGTCACAGCAGCGGAGCAGGGTCTGAAGAGCTCTGGTCTAGGAGCCAACAGGCTCCCCTCTCAGCCACCGCACTACCCACAGAGAAGACCTCTCTGCACTGTGTTTTCCCCATCTGCAAAATGGGTGCAGAAAGTGGGGGACCATATGGACTCTGAGCTCCATTTCTGCTCTCTGGAGGTGTTCAGTGTGGGGAGGTTTCCTGGAGGAGGTGAGTGGCAAGGCAAAGATTTAGGAATAGTGAGCAAAGGCCAGCTGCCCCCACCCCTGAATAGTCAGCACAGCCACAGTAGGAACCGCCCAGTGAGTGAACACCCAGAGGGAGTGGGAAGCAGGGCACCCAGGGCCCCAGGGAGGGAGCCATTGCTTCTGGAGGTGTGGCTGCCAGGCTCTGGGCTGCATTCCTGGGCCTGGCCCAGCAGCTGCTCCTCAGTTCTGCAGAAAGCAGCTGTGAGCAGGAGAGAGTTGGGGATGCGGAGCCCCCCATTTGTCCTCTGAGGAGTACACAAGATCACACCTATAAAAATCATCACAGTCAGGACAATGAGGGTGATTTTGGCAGTCAAGAGGCTCCGGAGCATCCAGCTCTGGAAGTGTTCAGTGTGGAGAGGTTTTTTTCTTGTATGGCTTTGGACAAGTCACTTGTCATCTCTAGTCTCAGGGGGTCTACTTCTCAAGCATTTGTCAGTAGTGATCTCGGCCAAATGATGAAGTGAAAGTGCCCATAAGTAATTCTGGGGACATCCAAGAGGCATTTATTGAACTTCTTTACATTTGTTGAGCACCTAGTATGTGCCAGGCCCTGTCTTTTAAGAAGTTCTTGCTGTGAAGAAGCTTCTGGACAAAAGGTGAAGGAAGCATGCATTCCTTCATTAGCTTGTCTTACCTGAGCCCTTCCTGGGGAAACAGAAACCAAAGGGGCAAATCAGAGATGTGTCCGCAACTGGCTGAGGTCACATGCCTGTGTCATGTGACAGTCATCTCTTAAGTACTATATAACCCGAGATGGCACTTTCTGAACCAAAAATGGGGCCCCAGAGGCTGACGATGAAAATGCACTTCGGGGACACGGGGACAAAAGTGTTGGCATCAGCAGTCCCTGTGGATGGAGTGGCAGTGAGCGATTGCAGACAATGAATCCTCCTCTTGAGCAAAAGAGACTGAAGGGAAGCTTCTGGAAGAGGCAAGTGCACTGGCCCCCAGGAGGCCCTGGTGTGTGCAGAGGCAGGAGGGCTTGGCCAGGAGCAGGGGAGGAGGCCTGGAAGAAGGCAGTGCAGGCCTGCACAAGAAGAGCACACAGCAGCTCTGCAGAACAGCTGGTATGGTCTCCCTAAGTGAAGCAGGGTCCCGCCTTCCTCATCCCCCATTTCCTCTTACGGAAGTCCAAGGAATTGGACCCTGCTTCACAGCAATTATAATCTACTTGAGGTTCCCTAAACATATGGCGCTGGCTGTCATCTCCCTCTGCCTAGAAAGAAAACTCCACCCATTAAAACTCAGTTCAAATGTCACTGCCTCCTCCTGAACACCTTCTGAGTCCTCTGGGCCCTTTCAGGACTTGAGTCCCTACATGAACCCTGGGGTCCCCATTACAGACATAGGAACTGAGCCACATTAGTCTGCTCCCCCCCCCACCTGCCTTCAAAGCTTTGCTGTTTTGAAAGAGGTCAAAGAAATGGGGATGGGATGAAGAGATCAGGGGACACATCTCACACGTGGCCTCCAGGAAACCCAAGGCAGATCAGTGTCAGAAGAGGTGGGTAGGTTGCCATGGGTGAGGGAGGCCAGGAAGGATGAGGCAGGAGGTGGAGTCAGCATCGGGGCTGTTAGAGCAAGAGTTCTGCACTTGAACTGACCAGGTTAAAATTCTGCCTCTGACACCAGGTGGCTACAGGCAGTCACCTCACTTCTTGAGGCTTTTTTTCCTCATCTGCAAAATGGGGTTGTAATGTGGATCTCCCAAGGCTGCTGGGAGGATCGAGGGAATGTGAAGGTGCCAGGCAGGTGGGGTAGGAGCACACCTAGTCCACCCGCCCCCTGGGCCCTATGCTTCACTTTGCCATTGCTCTTTAGCAGGGTCATTGCCAGCCTCTGGCTTATCTTCAGGTGAGTTTTGTCTTGTCCCCTGGAAGGTGAGCCCTCAGTCTTGGGACTCTCTCCGTTGCCCGTGCCCCCACACCCAGGAGCAGTTTGGACCATTGTTAATGTAATTTAGTTGAATAACTCAATTCTAAGTCTTAAAGACCTCTATGATTTTTAAATAAAAGGTAGTTTGAACTACCTCCCCTCAACAACAACAACAAAAACACATGTCCCAAGCCAGTTTAGTTATTGGATTTTCCATCCCCCCTTTCCCGGAATATTGGGGACTTAATAACATGTGTGCATGCACACATGCCTGCATAGGTCTCTTGCCCCTGCTTCTATCCAAGGGCAGGTCCTCAGTAATGACAAGGATGGGCCCAGGGCCATGCGTGTGTGCTGGACATCGTGGCCCCTTTGATTTGTATTCACATCTCCCAGACCCCCTGCCAGCTGGGCCTGGGGATCCCCTTCCCCACAGAGGTGCAGTGACTTGCTCAGGTTGACCCAGCCCCCCACACACTGTCCAGATTTCACTCCGTAGCCAGGCAGGAGGGGAGGGAGGTGGCCTTGGTAGGCCAGCCTCACACACACGAGGGTGTGGGCCTTGCAAGGCGAGCGCACTCAGCACTGTGGGGACTGGCAAGACTTGAGAGTATCCTGGGTCAGCGACCTCAGGGTCCCTGGTTTGTGTATATTTGGATACACCACAAGTGCACTCGCATGCACACACACTACTACAGTGCCAAGTGGTTTGACTTAGTTCAGCTAGCAAAGGAAGTAGATTAATTGAATGGTGAAAGTGCCACCAGGCTATCTCGCTTGATCTTCACAGAAATGCTGGGAAATTGGATCTGTCCTTGGTCCATATTACAGATGAGCAAAGAAAGGCTCAGAGAGGTATAGTGACATGCCCAAGGGCACGCAGCCATGAATGGCTGGCAGGAACTAAACTCGGGTCTGTTGGACATCTAAGGCCTGGCTGGGAACCACATTCCTGAGGCTCTGGCTCCAGACTTCTCTTGGCCTCAAGGCCATTCACCTTTGCATATCAGTGCTTCTGCTGTGAGTTTGCGTCTGGCTTCTCTCCCCATTGACCTCATAAATTTGAGAGCCCTGAATGCTGGGTCTCCCCCTTCTAATGGGTACAAGATCCCAGAGCCAAAGCTGCTTTTAGCATCGTTCGGCCCAAGTACCTCTGAGAGGGGAAAATGGTCAGTCATTACCTGAGCATAGCATAGCATCGACCCCTGGTGGCACTGCAGAGTAGGGTCACACTGTTGTTACTCCAGAAGGCAGGGGACTTCTTCAGACCCACCCAGAAGCGGCCAGCACTGGAGTTGGACTTGGACCAGAACTAGACAGGAGATGTCTGACGATGAGGACAATGGGGTAGAGAAGTGACTCAGTGCAGCTCAGCCAGCCTGGGAGCCAAAGCAAAGATGAGCCACAGGACCTGCGTCCTAGACAGACCTGAGACCAGGAAGAAGTGGCAACGGGGGGCTGCCGTCCACCTACGCAGCATAAGTTCACGCGGAACCATACAGGGAACCCAAGACAGGGCCGAACTTTACTTAGCACCCAGTAGCACCCAACCCCCGAAGTCACTCTGCCTGGTCACACCTACCACCCCCAGCAACAGTTGTAGGGGCAGAAGCTGAACCAGTGGCCTTTCCCAGATCCCTGGGGGGCGAGGGCAGTGATCCCGGCGGCGAGGCAGGAGCAGGAGTGCAGGAGCATGGCAGTGGGGGTGGGAGGAGCTCCCTCCTGGCTGCTCTGTGTGTCCCTCAGGTGGCAGGCGCACCAGGCAGGCGGCTCCATGTGCTGTGTGTGCATCTCAGAGGAAGATCCAGTCATGCAGGAAGGACGGAATTCCAGGCCTGCCCTCGTGACTCTGACTTGTGCAGTGTCAGCCTTCTCAGGGTCGGCCTGATGAGGTGGAAAAAACAGCGCGGTGGAGGGAGGCAGATCTGAACTTGACTCTAGACACCGGGTTGGGGGCTGGGCCAGTGGCTTTTTTCTTAGTCTATTTCCTCATCTGTACCGGGAAGAAGATGCTATATACCTTCTAAGGCTGCTGTGAGGATCCAGTGCCACTAAAGTGCCCAGTGACCCTAGAGAAGTGTTCATTCTTGTCATTTCCTCTCCTTGAGAGAATTAGTCAGCTCCCAGGAACCAACTCTGGAATGTGGAGTGTAACCATTAAGGGCAAAGCTCAAACTGCTAGGCAAATACTTGCCCCAGGAACAAACAGGATGTCTGTACCGCCTGTCTGATGCATGGAGATGTATAAGCCCTTGGTATGGGAAAGATTTTTTATTGAAAAACTTTAAAATAGCCAAGCCCCCAAATGTTCCCTTCTTTCGAGTCCAACTTTTAAAAATTTTTTTAGTACCAGGGATTAAACCTAGGGATGCTTAACCATGGAGCCACATCCCCAGCCCTTTTTTATATTTTATTTAGAGACAGGGTCTCGCTGAGTTTTTTAGGGCCTCGCTAAGTTGCTGAGGCTGGCTTTGAACTCATGATCCTCCTGCCTCAGCCTCCCAAGCCACTGGGATTACAGGCGTGCGCCACCACACCCTGCTTGGGGCCATCTTTTGAAGAAAATGGAATGTTTAAAAATTCATCCTAGAACCAGAGTTAACACAAACCTGCTCCTGTAATGGCTTATCCCAATCCCACCATTTCTGTCAGGTCACCAGCCATTGTCACTTACCCACCCAGTTATAGGAGCTGGTATCTTCAGGCTTCCCTGTGGACTGTGATCCTTTGATTCATTTAAAAAATGAGGCACCTGCCGGGTATTGTGGCCCGCACCTGAAATCCCAGCGGCTCAGGAGGCTGAGGCAAGAGCATCCAGAGTTTGAAACCAGCCTCAGCAACTGTGAGGCACTAAGCAACTCAGAGAGACTGTCTCTAAAAAAAAATTACAAAATACAAGAAAAATGAGGCACCTGCTAGCTGCATTTATTCCACTGTCCAAAGAGAGAGCCTAGCACAGTGGTTTTCTTCACCATGCAGTAGAGGGCCTGTGAGCAGCTGGCTGGGCCACCGCCCCAGCAAATTTCAGAGTGATGGGTCAAGAATTTGCATTTCTGTCAAACTCCCAGGCAACATCCATGCACTGGTCTGGGGCCCATGCTTTCAGCACCATTATTCTGCGGTAGTTACATGTAGGGACCATGGAGTTAAAGTTGCTGGGTTCAAGTTCTCCTAGCTTCCAGCTGTGTCACTCTCACTCTGGGCACATGACCTGACTACTGTGTGCCTCAGCTGCTTCATCTGTAAAATTAGGATAATAATAGTCCCTGCCTCATAGGTAACACTTGAGAGAGTCAAATCGGTTAATATACATAATGGTGTGTCTAGTGTATAATATGTGCTCCATAAAATTTCCTCGTATTTGTATAGCAGAAAGGGGATCTTCCCCAGCTTTCAGTCCATGGTTACCGGGGCCATGGGGCTTTTTACCATCTTGCCTCAGTTTCCCCATCTGTACTAAACATTCCACACAGGACATTCTGAGAATCACATGGAATCATGCAAAAGCACTTTGTAAATAGTACAAACACTAGCTCTCTGCAAGCTAGATGTTATGGGAAGAACATGAACTTGAAGTCAGAGAGAACTAGCCTAAAATATCAGGCAAGTAGTCAGATCTCTGCTTCTTTTGATCTTGGTTTTCCCATCTCTGAAATAAAGAAAATAATGACAAGGACCTCAGAGGACCTGGGAAATGACCTGAGAACCCCTCACTGGGGTCTGCCCTTCACTCTCACCTTCAGTCAGTATCAGGGTTGCAGATTTCACTCCAGGGGCAGCATGGGCCTCACCAGTTCCCTCCCACAAATTTGCCACAGGACAGCCGCCTTCTCGGAGACCCCTCCAGCAGAAGCCTGGACTCCCATGCTGGCCTCACACAGAATCCCTAGCTCAGGGACTAAGGAGATCACGAGGTGTCCTCCAAGAGCCCACATCAGGCAAATCCTGGGGAAATACCTCTTTCCCAGAAGCCAGCCTGTGAGCCTCCTCTCATTCAGCCTCCAACCCCTGGCCTCTGGGAGTCATAAACCCTGTAGCAGCATTCCTTGCAGGCAACTTTATTCTCCAGGAGAGGTGAACAACTCCTCCCTTCTGCAGGAGGGAGGGGCAGCCAGAGGCCTGTTTAATTTAATTTAACGCACTGTGGCTTGCCAGGTTGCCCCGGTAACCGCTGCAGCTGCTGCTTCTGCAACAACCAGAAGAATTTTTAAAGAGACAGCCCATTTACAGACAGGCCAGAGTTGCACGGCAGAGCGAACAGCCTCCACCACTGCTTCATCGCAGGGATAGAAGACGAAAGCCCCAGCACATCAAGGTCTCCAACTAGATCTGTTTACTCCATTAACTCCATTCCAGTTCCACTGACCTCATCTGTAACTCTACAAGCCCTCCTGCAAACAGCACTCTCAAGTGGGATCTGTTGAGGGAATTTGGGATTTGTCACACAGATGTCACTCAGCTAGATCCTTTTTTGAAAATCAAATTTTCCAAAAGATTCTTGGAAGTTCGGAAGGTGTTCACTTCTGGGCTCTACCCCTGCAATTCAAGCACATAGCCACCAGGTGGTGATATTGCTTGCTTAGTGAAAACCATAAGGAAGGTGAACTATTGGAAGATTTTCAACAGTGACCAGTGAGGTGTCCTCCAAGAGCCCACACCAGGCAAATCCTGGGGAAATACCTTTTTCCCAGAAGCCGGCCTCTGAGCCTCCTCTCATTCTGCCTCCAGTCCCTGGCCTCTGGGAGTCATAAACCCTGTAGCAGCATTCCTTGCAGGCAACTTTATTCTCCAGGAGAGGTGAACAGCTCCTCCCTTCTGCAGGAGGGAGGGGCAGCCACTGGGTTCTATGTTCTGATGCTAACAAGTGTAGAACCTTGGGTAAGTCACTTCACCACTCTAGTCTCAGTGTTCTCAAATACATAATGAGATTGATAAGACAACTGAGTGTTGTGGACTACGCTTGGGGCTAGAACTGTGGAAGGCACAGGTTAAGTCCTAGTTCTATCATGCAAAAACTGTCTGGCTTGGGCACAAAATTTAATTTATTTTGGCTTGAATACCAAACGAGAGTGACTATGAACCAGGAAGAGCCCCAGGGACAGCAGAGCACTCAACTTAAACACTGGGAAAGTTACCTGGGACCCCAAGGGGTCCTGCAGTCCTGGGAGACATGAGGTACGGAGAATGGGATGAGGCAGGGTGTCTCTAGACTCTGGAGCCTGGAACCTCATTGCCCCATAGGGCACCAAAACAGGTCTCAGTGGACAAAGCAACTAACTTAGAAACTAGAGAAACTAACTCCGTTTGGCTCCAACCCAAAACAGGAGAAAGGGAATAAACATTTCTTCTGGGCCTGGCACTGCCCTTGGAACTTCCTGGAAGCCCATAGTGTCACCCTACTTTGCAGATGAGGGCATAGCCTTCAGGGGCAACTCATCCCCAGGGTCATACCTCAGGCCAGGCCTGTGGGACACCCAGGCCTCTGCCCTGAATATCAGAAGCCAAAGTCCACTCCACCTACTCCAACTTGGCCTCACCCTTTGCCAGGAGCACTGAAGACAGGTCAGGGCCTCTTTCCTGCTATGACTATTCGGCCAGCCACAAAGCAGGCTGTGGCCAGAGTCCTGAGATCACACCAACAAGTGGCCAGGTAACCAAGGCCCCACTACCTTTAGCGCTAACTGCGGTCAGGCCTTGACTTTATGTCCAGGTCTTTGGTCAGTGTGGCCCACAGAGGGTGCTCCATAAATCCCAGCCCCTTCTTCCTTCCCACATCCCCTGTAAGGAAAGCTGACAAGATGATCCAGCATCCTACCCCCTCTTTTTGCCCTGGGAAATGTTCCCCACTTCTGAAAGATGCCTTGACCCTCAGGGCCTGCCCTCTCCCCTCCAGAGAGCACTATTCTCAGCTAAAGCCCCAGTGCACTTATTCCCATCTCTGTGACAGGATGACCCTTCAAGGTGATGTGAATATAAAATCACACTGGATCTTGGCATTCCCCAGCTCGCACTCCTTCTATGACTCCCCACTGCCCTGCAGATGAGCTCCTGGCATGGGAATCCCTCCTAATATGCTCCTGCTGACTTTTCCCCTGCACCTTACCACCGGGGTCTATCCTCAGGGCTATCTGCGGATCCTGCCATTCACACTCGTTTTCCTCTGAGTTTGGGCATAGGGTGGCCTCCAGGAATGCCTTTCCTCATGGTATCCACCTGGGTGATTCCTCTCATCCTTGAGGACCTGCTCGAGGTTGCTTCCTCTGGGAAGCCCCAGGGAACTCCTGGATTGGGCAGATACCTCCTCTGGGCTCCCAGGGCACCTATGTCCCTTCTATTCTAACTGTATCTTTCAGACTGATAGACCAAGGGCCTCTCGAGATGGGCCTCATCTTTCCTCTCCTGTCCTCATTGCCCAGCCTAGGGACACACAGAACAGAGAGCAGGGAAGAGTAGGCTAAGACATGCTGTCGGTGGGTCCTCCTCTGCGTGCTCTAGCTGGGGCCAGGGCTCTCAACCCAATGGGCAGGCACCACTCAAGTGAGTCTCACGCATGAGGTCTCCTCTCTGCATCCCTCCCCGCACCTAATTCATTCAAGATTTCCTTGCCAGTGTTGACTCCCCCCAGCCAATCACACATACAGCTCCAGGGTGTCTGTTTCCACACATCCCCGTGTCTCTGTTCATGCCAGGCCCTCCGTTTGGGGGTGCCCTGGTCTCCATCCCACATGAGGATCCCTCTGAAGTGCTACTACCCACCTTAAATCCACAGCCTCGGGCTGGGGATGTGGCTCAAGCGGTAGCGTGCTTGGCATGCGTGCGGCCCGGGTTCGATCCTCAGCACCACATACAAACAAAGATGTTGTGTCTGCCGAAAACTAAAAAATAAATATTTTTTAAAAATTCTCTCTCTCTCTCTCTCTCTTAAAAAAAAAAATCCACAGCCTCTAACTGGGAGTCTTTGTCCATCCTGCTGCATCCTGGTCCATATTGCTCTCATAATCTTGATCCAACTTTACTTCCTACTACAGTTTTTGGCAATTCATGTGGCAAAGGGAGCATGGGCTTTGGAGCCAAAAGGCATTGGATGCCCAGCTCTGATGCTCTCAAATTCTGTGACCTGGGGGCAAGTCACTTTACCTCTCCAGGCCTCAATATGTTCACCCATAAAATGGGGCTAACACCTCCCTCCTGGATTGTGGGATTGAGGTAATGATATCAAGATCCTGGCCCATGGCAGGCACTGAGTCGAATCCTGTTATTGATACCTGCATCTGTTTCCCAAGCCAGCTTGGGAGCCTGTTCAAGTCAGGGTGCAGCTGCTGTTCACTGTCACGTCCCCAGAGCACCCACCCAGCACTCCGTGCTGGAGGTGTTTGGAATGTTGCTGGGGCGGAGTGGATGGATGATGGGGGTCTTGAGCTGAGGAGGCCACAGTGGGGGCAGGGAGTGCAGAAGATCAACTGTGGGCGATGAACGTGGAAGGAGGGGCTGGAGCCTGAGGCAGAGCTGCCGATATGCACTGGGGGTTTTATTGGTTTTCATTAAAATTCCTTCTTGAGGCAGGAGCAGCTACTCCCATAAATAACAGCATAAATATTTTATCTGGTGCCCAAGTTGGTCTAAATGCACAGCAAGGTTGGCAAGAATAATAATGGGAAACAGTCCAGGGGCGTCCTGGGCTTGGGCTGAGCCTGACTCACTTAACATGCCTGAGGGGCTTTCTCAGGAAAGTGGGGGCTGAGGGAAAGCACCACAGGGGAGAAGTAAGGAGAGCAGAGGAGAGAGAAGGCAACCCGTGGGGTGTGAGCCCCCAGTGGGCAGCCAGAGCCGGGTGGGGACCCCAGGGCCAGGGAGGAAAGGGATTCCACACCTACTCTGTGACAGGCACCTCAGTAGGGGTCACACAGCTTATCTTGTCAAATCCTATGTGGTCAGGGAGGTGAAGCAACTTGTCCAAGGACACCCAGCCAGACACTGGCAGAGCCAAGATTATCATCAAAGGCGTGTTAGGCTAAGGCCCTTCGACTGTGTCTGCTGCCTCTTGGGGTTCAAGGTGGACAATGGCCTGAGCACCTCCATAACAGCAGCATGGGCATTCTCTGCTTTCCCAGATCCCGATGGAGGAGAAAAGGGGCTGGTACTTCACCATGGCAACCCTCCTCATCAGGTCAGGCCAGGGATGGAAGGGGGTGCAGGATGGGGGGAGGTGTGTCTTGGTCGCCTGGGCCTGGAACCAGGCAGCGGGTGGGGGCAGAGGTGGTGGAGCCCATTCCAGGCAAGGGCTTCTGGAGGGCTGCTCGCCTGGGGGGTAGCTGGGAGGGGGCGCCAAACAGCCACAGCCCCTTCTTGGCCACAGGCTGGATGGCATCTTCCTGGAGCAGGGCAGCGAGGAGCAGAAGAGGCTGCCTGCCTTCAACCGCACGCTGGCCCTGCTGCGGCAGGTCCTCAAGTCCTCGGACCCCCGACACCGAGGTAGGGACCCCAGGGGGTGGGCGGGGTGACATCCTCTGCCCCGCTGTCCTTGCACCCATCACTGGCACTGCCGGTCTCTGGCACTGTCCCCACGTCTGGCACTGTGTCCCTTTTCTTTCTCCCTCCCTATTTGTGTCACATGCTCATTTCTTTACCTCAGGAGCCCTCCCACCTGGCCCAAGGGAACGCCCAATTACAAATCACTACAGTGACACGCTCCCAAAGTTCCAAGTTGGTCTCAGGACCTGGAGGGAGATCTTGTCCTGCTCCAGCCCACCACCCTCACTCTATGGTGGGAGATGAAGGTCTGCTTGACCGGGTGTGTGAGAGTGTGTGTGTGTGTGTGTGTGTGTGTGTGGAAGGGAGCCATTTTCTCTACGGCCAGAAACCAGAACAGGCGCTGCACCCACCCCGAGAAGTCAGAAGAGAGCTACGACCCTGAAATGAGGTTCCCTAGGTGACACATTACACTCAGAATGGACACCAAAACCTGTTCATTCACTCCCTCCCATGTCCCTTTTTTCCGCCTTTCTTTCTCTCTGCCACTGTTCCTTGCTTTGTCATCATGGGTGCCTTGAGTGGAGCTGTCCCTGCCGCACCCCTGGCTCCCCTTCCCCTCCTCCCCCACTGCTGCTTCCTAAAGTCCCTCTCCCGCCCTCCTCCCCAGCACTGGCCTGGTGCTATCTTGGAATGCTGCTGGAGAGGAAGGACACCTTCTCCACCACCCCTATGGGCGTCCATGACTGTGGGTACTCCGGGACTGACCCCCTGGACTGCTTCGGCAAGGTATGTCCCCAAACCGCATCCCCTCTGCAAACTTGGGTGGGGGGGCTCTCCTCCAGGACCCATGGCTTCTCTGGATGTCATTCCCCCACCATGTGTCCTACAAGAAGGCACTTACTTCATACCCCTCTCCACTCTTCCCCTTGTTCTAAACAAAAAGGGCTCCTTTGTGGCTCTTTTCCTCTGCCTAAGACTAAATCCTTCCCCACATTCAAGCTGGCCCAAGCTCATTTCTCCAGCCTTGATATAGACCCTCAGACTTCTCCCCTGAGGCCAGGGTCCACATTGTTCCTCTGCAGGGTTCCCTTCCTCCCCAACCACAGTGGCACAGTGGAAAGAAGATCTCTAGCTGGGGTTTTCTTACCAGTTCTGCTCACAAGCTGTGTGGTCTTACGTCAAGCCACTTAGGTCAAGCAGCAGTCAATGCCAACATAGGGGGAAGTGCTGAGGCCCAGCTAGAAATGTTGTAAATATGAGAAGGGGCTGACTCTGGCCCCTTCTCTCACTTACCCTGGGAATATGGCAGAGCACACATGGGAAGGAGGGTTTACCTAGGGTCTGGAAGGGTTTGCTGGCCATGACCAGGGAACAGGGCAATGAGCTGGTGTTGGGTTCCATGATATGACTGACATACAGCAGGTAGATGTGGGTAGATATGAGGAGTTAGCACATGTGTGACAGGACTCTGTGCAGAGGTGGGGTCCCTATGGTTTAGGCACCATTTATCCAGGCTGGCAGACAAGCAAACAATACATGGTTTGTCTCTACCCTCCTCTCTTACCTAGGCCATTGAGATTGCCAAGGACCAACCTCCTATCCTGAATCACCTGGCCAAAATCTTCCACTTCCTAGGAAAGCAGGATATGGCCATTGGAACCTGTAACATGGCCCTGGATGTCCTACGAGATCCAGAGCTCAACTGGCAAGCATACTGCACAAGGGCCAAGGTGGGTCACCCACAGCCCCTCCCATTGGGAATCAGGGACCAAGGACCAGGGGCCATGACCCTATTGCAAAAGCCCAAAGGACCTGGAGCCTTCATGGTGGAGGGCCACTTAGGGGTCATCAGGGCACACAGTTGTGGTCAGTAAGGTTGCTGAGGTCAAGAATAGAGGAGCCTCTTCCTACGGCAGGGATCCCTTCTGCAGCACCTGGTCAGGAACCTCCAGACTCCAGTGGAATCAGACCATTGAAATCTGATCTCTCCAGCTATGACTGTGGAAGCTGTGGCAAGCCACCTACCCCTTCAAATCTCAGTTCCCAAATCTGTAAGATAAGCTAATAACACCCATCTTAAAAAGCTATCAGAGGCTGAAGCACAGCACCTGGGCATGGCAGGTTCTTTTGGAAAGTGGGAGATTCCACTTTAAGTAAAGGTAGATTCGTCTGGTGGCTCAGAGCTTTGGTCCTGGACACAGAAAGTCTTGATTCAAATCCTACGTCACCACTGACATGCCGTGGGACCTCTGACAAAATACTGGGGCCCAATTCCTAAACCTTGGTTTCTTTATCTGACCTCACAGAGTGGTTCTGAGAAGTGAATTAGATTCTATGTAAAACTTAGCACCAAGCATGTGGTAAGAGCTCAGAGGTGACTGATGGCTATTATTAGGTATATTTTTAGCTGATCAGCTGTCTCTTGTGACAGTCCCCTGCGTAGTTTTTTAGGGCAATACATGGTTTGTCTCTACCCTCCTCTCTTACCTAGGCCATTGAGATTGCCAAGGACCAACCTCCTATCCTGAATCACCTGGCCAAAATCTTCCACTCCCTCCCATGTCCCTTTGTTCCGATGAGAGCTGCCCCCTCCCATCTTTTCCCACTGGGCCCACATCTGCCCTCTGGAGCCTAACGGAGGCCATTTGCCTGGGGACAGCCCAGGAGCTCCAAGTTTACTATGTGCCAAGCTAATAAGCAACCCCCTTCCCCCTATTTTTTCCACTACCTTTCACATGACCTAATGGCAAATCTGCTCCTGGTCTTGGTCTCAACGGCTTAATTTCCTGCTCCTAGTGCCATCAGGGACTAGGGTCAGCACATTCTTTCACTGTAGTTGATATGGTTAATATTATGAATAATAAAAATATTAATCATAATACACCATAAAACATTTTTATAAAACTCTGCATTTCTGCATTTCACCAAGCACTTTCATGATTGTGGTCTGATTTAATCCTTATAAGAATCTGAGAAAGACAGGACCTATGTCAGTCTACAAATGAGGCCACCAAGGCGCAGTGAACATTCCCAGCAATCTGCACTCAAATAGCCAGAACCCTTGGGCTATGGCTGTGACTCAGTGGTACAGCTCTTGTCTCACATATGTGAGGCACTGGGTTCGATTTTCAGCACCACATATAAATAAGTGAATAAAATAAAGGTCCATCAACAACTAAAATATATATTAAAAAAATAGCCAGAACCCCAGCCTTAATTTCCTCACTCTGTCGCCTTGTGTCTTAAGCTTACTGCTTCCCTGTAGCTCCAAAGGTCACTTATTATTTAGATGTCCAGAGGAGGAAGGAGCAGGAGAGAGGGACTCACATGATCTATGTAGAACCCTTGGACCACACTGTGGCCCATAAACTCAAACCTAGTCATGATGGCCTCACCCCTCCCTCTACTCATGTCTCTCATTCTTTTCCAGCCCTACTGGCCTGAGCCTCCATCTAGAATGCTCTTCTCCCAGATATGTGATTGACTTCCTCCTTCACTTCTTGCAGGCCTGATAAAAAGCAGTTTCTAGTGACCTTATTGAAAAGGTCAACCCCCTGCCAATACTTTCTATCCTTTTCAGGTTTGCTTTTTTTTTTGATATTTATTTTTTAGGTGTAGATGGACACAACACAATGCTTTCGTTTTTATGTGGTGCTGAGGTTCGAACCCGGGTCCCACCCATGCTAGGGGAGTGCTCTACCGCTGAGCCACAATCCCAGCCCCAGGGTTGCTTTTTCTTAACGCCAATCACTCCCTAACATGCTATTTACCTATTTATTATGTTTATTGTCTTCCTCCCCCAGTAACACATGAGTTCCATGAAGGCAGGACTTTTGACATTTTGCTCTGCACTGTATCCTTGGGCCTGGAACAGTGCCTGGCTCCTGATGAATATCTGTTGAAGACATGAACAAGGGAACTGGGCATGTGCTAGGGCCGAACTAAAATATGATCTCTCAGTCATCAGGGTAACTCCCAAGGGAGGTATCAGTGTACTAACTTTTCAGAGATAGAAAATGGGGCTCACAGAGGTTGTGTGACATCCTCCAGGTTACATGGTTAATATGGGGGGGGGGCCACTCGATACATGAATGAATGAGTGAATGAATGAGGGCCACTTCACCCAGTCCCCTCATTGTACAGACAGAGAAACAGGCCCAGAAAGAGGAGCAGCTAGCCCAAGTTGCCACAGGACCAGAACCTAGGATTCCTGGGTCCCAGCCTTAGGAGCTTCCTGCTACCCCACAGAACATCCCTGTTTGCTATTGATAAAGGGACGGTCTTCTTGTAGGACAGAAAGAAGGGAGGTCCTTACTTGAGCACCTTCCCTGAGCTAATCCTCTGCCTGCAGATCCACATCAGAGCCTACCTGCACGACCTGACACGGGCCAAGATGGGGCTTGGGGGCATGCCGGACAGGAAACACCTGGCCTGCGCCAAAGCTGACCTTGAGGAAGTAGTCAAGGTGTGCCCAGGCCTCAGGACATACCTGGACATTGGCCAGGTAAGGCAGCCTCTTGGCTTGATTACCGAAAAGATCATTTATAACCTACTGACTCCCTGCCAGGCTAGGCCTGAGTATGAGGACATGGATAGGAATAAGGGGCATCCCCCTACCCACCTCCTCCGGCCATGGGGAAGATGAAATGAGATAATGTGTGTACCGTGTGTAGAAGAGGACCTGGCTCTCTAAGCACTCAATAAGTATTCTTTACCCAAAAGTGACTACTATGCTCAGGGGATAGTTACCAAGAGGTGATAATATCATAATTTTACATATGAGAAAACCTGGGTCTAGAGATTGACTTGCTCAAGGTTATATTTGGCCAAGAGTGGGAGGGCTGGAACTGGAATTCTGGTACTGCCTCTCCTTTTCCAGGGGCGGGGGCAGCTACAAGAGTTTAAGAATTGCTGCAGTAGGGAGGTAGGGAGGGTGGACCGAATGAAGGAAGTTTTTTTGAACCAGCTTGAGGGTGGTATGATCCTGAGGGCGGTGTTACTGGAAGGAAGGCTCAGAGGCCCCCCCATCCCAGGTCTACTACTACATGGGCGTGGACGCCATGCGGGAGCTGCTGGCGGTGGACGAGGCGGCGCTCAACCAGGCGCTGGTCTTCCTGGCCAAGGCCGGCGAATTCGAGCTGGGCGCCACGCTGCCCGAGCTGCAGCTGCTACGAGGCAAGTGCCTGCGCATCAAGGGCGAGGAGGCCAACGCGGCGGCCTGCTTCAAGCGCGCCGTGGAGCTGGACGACATGGGCTCCAGCCACACCGAGGGCTTCGGATGCCTGCTTGAGGCGCTGCTGGTGCAGTGGAGCCAGGCGCAGCTGAGCGACGGCGAGCTGGGACTCGAGGTGGACGCCTGGCTGCGCCGCGCCCGGGGCAAGTACCCGGAGGCCTGTCTGCGCCAGGAACTGCAACGCGTGTGGCGCGGCCACACGGACGAGATGCTGGGGGTGGCTAGGGCCTTAGTGGCCCAGGGACGGCCAGCGCTAGTGCGGATGCTTTTCGAAACCATGGAAGTAGAAGGTGAGAGTGGTGGAGAGGCGCGCAGGCGCCGTGCGCTCTCCTTCTGAGTCTCAGGAGTCCAGGCCCCGCCCCGCAGAGGTTCTGAGCCGGTTCAAGGCGCTGAAGTTGGGCGCCTCTGCCACCGGCAGGCTGCTTGAGGTAGCCAATCAGATTCCTTTTCCGAAACTGAGAGGTGGACATTGAGACTAAGGCAGTTCGAGCTGCCCACTAAGGCCTGACTGCCAGTTTGGGGACTCTCATGAGCCATTCTCTATAAGAAGATAAGGGATTGCCCGGTGTGGGAGTGCACACCTGTGATCCCAACTGCTGAGGCAGGAGGACTGCGATTTCAAGCCCACGCTGGGCAAATTGGGCAAGACCCTGTCTCAAAAAACAAAAGACTAACGTTGACTGTTGACTGCAGTCTCGGGTCCTGCAGCCGGAAAAATTTCAGAGTGGACTCAAAGGCAAGGTGACACAGTGAGTGGACTAAGGCAGGGCCTTAACTTAAACCTGAGTGCTCAGTCCTTTCACCACCTCCTACCAGTTTTCCAGCAGTTGTCATTCTTGGTCTGCTTGGTCCCAAAGTCCTCTGGAATTCCTTGAAATAGAATTTGTCAATAGAACCTTTACTTGACTTCTCTGTTCTGGAGAAAATCTAGGGGCCCCACCCATTAGGAAATGCCACCTACTCTCAATCTTGAATCTTCTATGAGAGAATGAGGGAGAACTTGGACCTTTATGTTCTGTAATCATCATCACAGAATCTTAGATGTGGAATTTTGTCAAAGCCTTAGTAGACCTGATAGCCACCAAATTGTACAAGGGTTGAGCTAGATTCTGTGGTCTCACACACAGAAGCTACTTTAACCCCAAATCCCAGATTAAGTTTTTGCCAGAGACCAGAAAGGCAAGATTTATGATTTTTTTTTTTTTTTTTGCATCTTTTCCTTTCTTTGAAGAGCTATCCTCCCTGCATTGTTCATGGCCATGGTCCTCAGGCTCCACCAGGGACAGGGTGGCAGCCTTGCACTGCAGCTCTATATTGGTTTTTGAAACCATGGAACTAGAGGATGAGAGTGGTAGAGTGGCACCACTCTGAAGTGCAACACCGTCTGACCCCTTCACTATGCAGATGGAAAACTGAGAGTCACAGAAGGGAAGCATTTGCCCAAAGTCCCACTTCCTGTGCTCCTTGCCCTGAATCTCAAGCTTACTTTCAACATTTTTAAGGTTTGGAAAAATAATGATCAATGGTAAAACATTATTATGTGCTAAAGGTTTGTGTGTCACTTGTCCCATGGTGCACTCTGATAGTCAATGTTTTTAACGCCACTGATGCTTTCCAGATACCTAGAAATCAGACAAGGAGGCCACTTTGAGGCCGCTGAATTCCACCTCAGGCTCACCATGGCTCACCATTTGGGACTGTGGTATTCTCTCCCCACCTCCTTCTCCTCTCATCTTCATTGCATCAGAGGCCAGGAGGTGACTCATCAGTGGGCAGTACTTGTGGCCCTTTTCTCCCTTCACCCTGCCCACTCCCATCCTTTCTCCACCAAGACCATGACTGTGACCTTCCTTAAGATGGAGATGCATTTCCTTCCACTTCCCTACTGGCAAGATTTAAAAAGTTGCTGAAGTTGGTGCCCCCACCTCCAGTGTTTCCTTCCTTGCATTTCTTGTCCCCAAGTTCATGCGTTTCTCCCTCCATTGCCCCTGCCTCCTGTCATAACCTTTTTTTTTTTTTGAACCAGAGATTGAACTCAGGGGCACTTGACCACTGAGTCACATCCCCAGCCCTATTTTGTATTTTATTTAGAGACAGGGTCTCACTGAGTTGCTTAGTGCCTTGCCATTGCTGAGGCTGGTTTTGAACTCGCGATCCTCCTGCCTCAGCCTCCTGAGCCGCTGGGGTTACAGGTGGGCGCCACAGCGCTCAACTATCATAACCTTTTGAATAAAATTTCTTTCTGAGAACCTCATTCACACTGATCATTTAAATGGTTAACAAACACCCATTCTAGTTTCCTCAGGGCTATCTGCATATTAACCGAAAGCCAAAAAGAGGTAAGAAATCCCATTCCCCAGACTGCCTACTATGTGCTAGGCACTTCATGTGTGTAACCTCACTGAATTCTCTCACCCACCCTGAAGGGTAGGCTTTTTACAGATGAGGACACTGCGACACAAACAAGGCCACAGGTAAGTGTGTGAAGAGCCAGGACTTGAAGTGAACCACCCTGTTCTGAGCCTCCGCCTGAACACAGTCCTGCAGGACATGTGTCATCTTCCCTCCAGAGTTGGCTTTCCCAGTGTCCGTGAGCACGAGCCCTACCTGTTACTCTACCCTCAACTCCGTTCCTAAACTGCCTTGCCTTTGGGACTTTCCACATCTTGTTCCTCCACTGGCTTTTTTTTTTTTTTTTTTTCTGGTCATTTCTATCCCAAGTGTTCAGCTCCAAGGCACCTTGTCCAGGAAGTCCTGCACTGAGCTTTACATATAAGAAAGTCTTAGTTTTTGTTGTTGAACTGAGTAAACCCACAGCAATGAGCTGGCACCTCAATTCCAAACAGGTGTCTCTATTGCCAGGTCCACAGGACTCGGGTTGGGGGCAGGTCTGCAGCCTAAGGTCCCTTAAGATCTGAAGATCAGACAGAAAATGACTTTTCTTCCTACCTCCTATCCAGCCTCACACCAATCTCCTAGTTCTGTGATTGGGAAACTGAGGCCCAGTGGGCAGAGACTTTCCTAAGGTCAAGCTCAAAACTGCCCCCAGACTCGTGGTCCACTGCTCTCTGTCCTCCTTGCCCAGTTGGCTTCTGTCAGACCCAGGAGGATGACAGCCCTTCCATTCATTTACTCAACAAATATTTACCAAGTGCTGGACAATGCCAAACTCTGGGGCTACAGTAGGGAACAAAACAGAGCTTGTCCTTGACTTCAGGGAGTTCACAGCTTAGACCATGAGGAACAGTTATTGGGGTCTTAGGGTCATTGAAGGAACTTTTGAAGACCTATGGGAAGCTATCAGTGGTTTTAGATGGCAAAGCACTGTCCCTCCTCCATTCCAGCCATCCTCAGCTAGGGTGAGTAGCCTTTCCAAAGTCCAGCAGGGTTGGGGAGGAGAATGTGGCTGTCCCTGGGGCCCAGGACCTGGTTCTTGACTACCCCTTTTCAGCAAGCCACTGCTCAGGCCAGGCCTGACAGTCCTCTCAAACTGTGGTCTCAGCTGCTTGGGAGGCAGCTTACAGCTTTAAGCCCAAGGGACACCTGCCCACTATGGGGTTGGGAGGATAGCTGTCATGCAACTGAAGTGGCTTCTCAGGGAGCACTGCAGAGTGAAAGCCTTAGTGGCCACACAATCAGAGCAATGAGAATGGAGCCTTCCTCAGGGTCCAGCAGCCATCATTAGGCAGCCTAGCACTGGGGTTCAGCCGGCACGAGGGAGGCATGTTACAGATGGTGAACATAGCCGAGATCCCCCAGTTACAGGTTCCCAGGGTCTCAGAATTGGAAAGAACCTTAGATATCACCTGTCTCAGCCTCCCATCTACTACGAGACTCCTCCCCACAGTGAGTGAGTTCTGGAAGAGGGTCTACACAATTGCACGCCTTTGGAAGAGAAGCAGCTCTGGACTTCATAGAGGAATCAATTCATTTTTCCAGCCAATCTACGTCTTCTGATTTCATCCCTCTATTGAGTTGAAGTCGTCTTCTCTGCAATTTCTTTCCTCAATTCAAGTTTATCTTCTGAGGCCATGCAGACCCTAATAAGCACTTGGTCTGAACACTTGGTCCTTGGCCCCTATTCTCGCTTTCTGTCATGGTACCTGGTATGGTGTTGGAGTTGTTCAGAGGGTGGCTGGCTACTCTGAAGCTGAGCTCTGGCCTGGCCTCCAGCTTCCTGCCCCAGCCGGGTGCTTGCTGCTGAAAGCAGAACAGAACAGGGCTTCTCCCTGTCTCCAATCAGACCCCAAGGGAGCATCCCGTGTGGATGATGGTGGCTAGATGCCAAATGAAGTGAAATATCTTCTTTTCTCCGGCTGTTAACTTTTTTCTTGTTTAAGGAAGGGAAGGATAATGACATTTAGCACTTTACAACTCAGCAGTAAAATGAGCAGATGGAAACAGATCCCCTGCACGGTGGGCTTGCTTCCAGCAAGAAACCCTCCTCTGCTCCATGGGTCAAAGTCACTGTCGGGCTTGCTGGTGGGCATAGAATCACAGTGGCTCCTCTTCCTCCTGCCCCAATTCCTCCGGGCCTCACACCTGGCCCTACACCTGCCCCTGGTAAACACTTCTTTGCCTCTGCTTGCTCTGTCCCACCTACCTAGAGCACTTGTCATCCCAGGTCTGGTTGGAACACAATCTCTCTGTTAGATGAGAAAGTGTGTTCGTTAGCTTTTCTTTGCTGTCACAAAATACCTGTGAAAAACACCTTATCAGAGGAAAGACTGATTTTGGCTCACTGTTTCAGAGGTTTCAATTCATAGTTGGTCAACTACATTGCTTTACACCTGAGATGTGGCAGAACATCACTCTGGAAAGGCATGGTGAAGGGAAGTTGCTCACCTCATAGTAGTAAGGAAGCAGAGAGAGAGATAGGAAAGGGCCACAGACAGGACACAGTCAGAGGGCATGCCCCCTAGGACTCCTGCCCTTCAGCTAGGCCCCACCTCTAGTCTTCTCCCAATAGTCCATTCGGCTCTGAATCCCTCAGTGGGCTCATCCATGGTGAGGTCAGAGCCCTCATAATCCAATCACTTCCCCAAAGCCCCACCTCCGGACATTGGTGCGGTGGAGACCTGGTCTTCCACACCTGAGCCTTTGGGGGACATTCTAGATCTAAATCATGACAGGGATGAGGAAGAGGGAGGTGATCCTCATGACAGAGTAGGAAACAAACTTCTGAAGAAGTTTGGAGAAATTCCAGCTGGTCACAAAAGGACAATTGAACTAGGCAGGGTTGGTCCCCCAGGGAAGTCATAGAGAATCATTGCTGTCATCACCATCAAAACAATTTGCTAAAAACATGCCATGGCCAGGCAGTGAGCATGTGCTCCTGTGCCTCAGCCCCTGTGATGCTCACAAGCCCATGATGCCCATTGGCATTATATATATATATATATATATATATATATATATATATATATGTATGTATATATATATATATATATGTATATATATATATATATATATATATATATATATATGTATATATATGAGAAACTGAGACTCAGAGAGGTTTAATTAGCTTTCCTGAGGTCCCTTCACTCTGCACAGAATGGCAGGCAAGCTAAAGAGTACTAATGAATGGCTTTTTAACTCTGGGGGCTTTAGATTACTTTCTCTTCTAGCACATATGTTGCTCTGTAAACTGAACACATAAAATTCAGATGGATTTTTCCGTTTCTGTTTTCGAGCCAGTCAATAGCTCTGTGGTGGGGCTTGTTCTCTTTGGGCATGTAAATTGTTGCATTAAACTGCAGTTCCTCTTTGGGTTTTTTTACCCACAAAAAAAGAAAGAAAAAAAAATAGGCAAAAGAGCTCTTACTGTGGTGGATGGAGCTCTATGGTCTCAACTGCCCAGCACCCCTCCCTGCTAGGAACACTGCACCCCACTATTTGGGTGGGCTTCTAATTGCTCCTTTCCTCACTGTGAGTGATGATGAAGACTGTCAATCATAATACCCTGCTTCCTTGATCACAAAAGCAAACATGTGACTCAATTTCAGCCAATCACTGTTCTTTCCATAAGATTTTTTTTTTTTTAATTCCCAACAGGAACAGGAGGGAAAGAAAAATGCCCTTTACCTCTCTGCTGGCATAGGTATTAGGATATGTCCCCATTAGGATTAGGTTTATCTTGGGCCTCAAAGACCCAAAAAGCAGTATCTTTAGCAAGATGGCAGTTTCTTTATCCTGCAAGGTGGGCTCAAGTATCACCTCCCTGTCCTGCACATAGCCCCTCTGCCCTCATCCACCAGGCACATGCACAAGCAACTGCCACTCTCAGCCCAAGCATGTGGCAGAGTGGACACACTGGAGAGTCCCCCCGGGAGCAGCTCTCAACCAATGGTAAGTAGAAACTGAGGATAAATACCTCGCCTCCTAAGCTCTGGGAGCAGGCTAATTCTGGGGCAGGTTCTGCACTGTCTCCAGAGGTCCCCAGTAAGATGGAGGCCCAGTTCCCCACACAGCAACCCATTCATCAGCACACCCTGCCTTCATTTCCCCCCCTGCCTATCTCACTTGCCCACTACCCTACCAATGCTTCCTGGAATCTACTGCCAAATAAATAACTTTCCCTGGATGCCTTGATTCGGTGTCTGCTTCTCTGGGGAGCAACTTTACACTCTGTGCTGTTCACTTTCTGTGTCAATCTGGCCTGACCACTGCTGCGTGTTTCCCTCCAAAATCAATGTCATAATGTAAGCCTCAAAGGTAAAGAATTGGGGCCTTTTGGGAAGTGATTAAATCAGGAGAGCTCTGCCCTCATAAATGAATTAGTGCCCTTTAAAAGAGGCTTCAGAGAGCTGCCTGACCTTTTATGCCCTTCCGTCACTTCTGCTGTGTGAGGACAGTGTCTGTCCCTTTTTGTTTCCTTTCACCATGGGAGAATGCAACAAGAAGAGATCATCTTGGAAGCAGAGAGCACCCCTCAGGGGACATCAAATTCTAGTACCTTAATATTAGCCACCAGACCTGTAACTCATATATCAATTTGTTATAAGTTACCAGGCCTCAGATATTTTGTTACAGTAGTTCAAATGGACCAAGGTAGACAGAGTGCCCAGATATTTGGTCAAATGTTATTCTGAATGTTTCGGTGAGGGTGTTTTTGTTTTGTTTTGTTTTGTTTTTGATAAGATTAATATTTAGGGGCTGGAGTTGTGGCTCAGTGGTAGAGCATTTGCCTAGCATGTGTGAGGCACTGGGTTCAATTCTCAGCACTGCATATAAGTAAATAAAATAAAGGTC